TACTCTGGAAAAAGGGACCAGACCAAGACTTAAACCATAATGATAATGATATAAGGGATCTCCAGGAAGCAGTGCACTCAGGTCAAGCAATTGTGAAGCTCCGAGTCTCTAGAGCTCCCCACATGCTCATAAACATTCATTCAGGGGCCGGGGATTTAGCTCAGTGGTTCTGCCACCTGCCTTGCAAGTGCAAGGACCCAAGTTCAATCCACGGTACCAAAAAAAGAAAATACAAATTCATTCAGTATTTAATAACTACACATCTAATCGTACACATACATGTAACCAAAAACTGTCAAACCCTTGAGCAACATATGGAAGACAGAGACAAAAATAAAAAGGGACGTCAACTAGAAGTGATACTACTCCCTGAGAAAAAAAATCCATTTCATTAATATCCTAAGGGTAAGATGATAGCACTCTCATAAAACAGAAATAAGATACTCGTGTGTGTGTGTGTGTGTGAGAGAGAGAGAGAGAGAGAGAGAGAGAGAGAGAGAGAGAGAGCGCTGGGGATGGAATACAGGGCTTCACATGTGCTAGGCAAGTGCTCTATCACTGAGCTACATCCTTGGTCCTGACAAGATGCTTTTTTAAAGTAACATTCAAAAAATGAAAAAGAGCTCGAGGAAGCTAAAAACGCAATAGCAATAATGAAAAAAAAAATAGAAAAATTCAAAATCTAGAAAGTAGGACAAAACAACAGGTAAATGTACCAGAGAAAAAAATGAGAAATTATAGGATAGTCCAGGATTCCTTAACACAATATTAGCAAATTTGATCCAGTAATACATAAAAAGAATGAAAACTCAGGGTCAAGTTATTTGGCTGAAAAGCATTTTATTTGTATTTGCATTGCATTATATACCCTCAAGTGCCAGCTTATGTAACATTAATATTAGAGTTTTATTGAAAATTCAGTAATAACAAACATTACAATTAGCCCTGGGAATCCAAGGCCAGTCAACAGTAAAAATCATGTCAATGCAATTCATGATAAATAGGACTCACCCATGTTAAAATTTTTTGTTCTACAAAAAGCACTGCTAAGAGATTGAAATGACAAGCACTGAGAGAAAATAGTCACAAATCATGTCTGAAAAAGTACTTTTTATCAAGAGCTCTCAAATTTATTTCCCCCACCCCGGTACCAGGGACTGAACTCAGGACCTTATGCTTGCCAGGCAGGCAAGAAGCCAATGAGCTACATCCCCAGCTCAAATGTCAACAATAAGAAAACAAATGACTCAGTTAAAAATTAAGCAAAAAATGTTATTTTGAACAAACACTTTACTGAATAAGAGATATGAATGGAAAGCACAAAGATGATCAACATCACTAGTCATTGCAGAAATAAAATTCTAACCACAATAAAATACCACTACTCTACTACAATGAATAAAACAAAGAGTCAGGCATGGTGGCACATGCCTGTAATCCCAGCACTCAGGAGGCTGAGGTAGGATCACCATGAGCTCGAGGCCAGCCTGGACTACAAAATGAGTTCAAGGCTAGCCTGAATTACATAGTGAGACCAAAATACAAAAAAAAAAAAAACTGACCATAATAAATGTTGACAAGGATATGAAGAAACTAGAATTCTCATACATTTCTAGTAGCAATGCAAAATGGTACAAACACTTTGAGAAATAATCAGGCAGCTTCTTGTTAAGTTAAACATATAGTTATCACAGGACTCAGTTATTCCACTCCTAAGGATTTACCCAGAATTAAAAATATTCACATAAAAACCCTGTTTTATGGATGTTTATAGCAATTATTGAGACATTTATTCACAACCACCAAACTCTGAAAACAACCAAAACAACATCTCATAAATAAATAAATTATGGGATACTATTCAGCAATAGAAAATAAATAGCTAAGTAAACCAGATCAAAGGAGCCCTACATAATTTACTACGTGACTTATTTATACGACGTTCTGGAAAAGGCAAAACTATGGGGGTAGACGACAGACAATCCTACCAGGGTTTGGAGGAGAGGAAAGAGTTGACCATGAAGGGTTAGCATGAGGGAATTTTAGAGAGATGGAACTTTTTTGCAACTTGAGTGTGGTAGTGGCAACATGACCCTATGCATCTGTCAAAGACTCAAAACACTGTACGCCAAAAAGAATGAACTTTATATTTCATAATTTTTCCATTAATATATATATACAGGGCTGGGGATTTAGCTCAGTTGTGCCACCTCCTGCCTCACAAGCACAAGGTCCGGAGTTCAATACCCAGTACCAAAAAAAAAAAAAATCCATCACTTCTTGGCCTTTTGGCTAACATCAAGTGCATATTTAAAAATCTGTTTCCATGTATGCTTTTCTGCATTATGCGATAATTGCAGTATTATCACAGAAATAAAACACATAATCATCTTTTAGCTCACAAAACAGTTTTGTTTTTACAAGAAAGCATTTTTACTCACTCTGAAAACAACACATTTTCAAAATGGTAAATTCACAAAACATTCTAAAAAGTGTAAGCGATAGGCCTGAGGATAGAATGGGAAGATTTAAGTATATGCATAAGCAGAAAAAACGGTCTCAGTGAACAAGTAAATCAGATCTGCAAGGGAGAACCGATACCTGACTAAACAGATGATAAAAGAAACGGAAGGAACTAGAATCCAGTACACACGTGGCCAATTTCTAATACCTTCATGCCGTAGACTAAGTTTTGTTTTTTGGTTTTTGTGGTTTTTTTTATTTTTATTTTTATTTATTTATTTTTTTTTTGGTACTAGGGATCAAATTCAGGTCCTTGAACTTGAAAGGCAGGCAGCGCCATCACTGAGCTAAATCCCCAGCCCATAGACTAAGTTTTATCCCTTTCTCAAAGCTTTCGCAAGTGCTCCAAACTGGAAACTATCTTTTACTCCTCCTCTGAACACCATATCAATTTCTACCATGACTCCTAATACTTCCTACCAGACAGAACCATTACTATGTCACATGTCTTATCATTCCCCTCCTGCTCTGACACCCCAATAAGCTATAAATTATTTGAAAGCAAAGATTCAGGGATATGTATTTATTACATAATGCCAAGCATAGTGCCTTAAATAGAGCAAAAAGCAAAACAAAACCAAAAGCCTCCTAGTAGGGTGATGGATGAGTAACTAAATAGTGCAGAATAGTAGATAGCTTATTGACTGGTTCTTACTTATGATATTCCTTGTGCTAGAATTCAGTACAAATGACTTTTGCAAAGTGCCACTTTATTTTCAAATACACTCAGTTTCAGATTCATCTGAGTCTTGTACTTGAAGCAACAAATATCTGAAAAATTGTTGAGGACATCTCTTCCTTACATAAATATAATAAAACACTCACCTCAGATGGACCACCTATTCTAATTCCTTCGAAAAACAGTCATAGATAAAGTCTATTCAAAGAGGTTAAGGAAAGCAGGTACATTATGCTCACTTTAAATTGGTCAAACTTCTGAGGTACACAGATTTGATGTGCAATCTTGTAATTTCAGTCCTTTCAATGGTCTCATCTTTTTCATGGGAATTTAGGGGGAAATGAGCCATATACAAATAAAAGATTATCAGTCTGCTGAATATTTCTCTGAACTCCATCACATATGGCATTATAGTGAGTCACAGAGCATTACTAAAGTATCTGCTTTCATTTTGCAACTAATCAGTACATAATGTCTACATCATTGATCCCAGTCTGCAATGCTTTCATTATAGGACCTCTTCCCCTACTGTGATACACAACTAGCATTAAAGATATGGTGACTTTGTGACAAATAGACATTCATAGTGAAATAACAATTACATATAATCCATTACTATTTTCTTAAAAGGGAAACAAAACAAATACTGTCCTTCAGAACTCATCAAGAGAATATTTTCCATGCTAATAATGCACAAAACATGCTATGAACTGAACTGTGTTCTTGCCAAAAATTGTATGCTAAATCCCTACCCCCAAAATTTAAAGGTGGGCCCTTTGGTAGTCATTAGGGTTAGATGAGTCTATCAGGGTGGAGCTCTCATGGGATTAGGGGACTCTCTCTCTCTCTCTCTCTCTCTCTCTCTCTCCCTCTCTCTCTCCCTCCCTCCCTCCTGCCATCCCTCTCTCCTTTTCCATGTGACAACTCAGGGACTAGGCAGCCATTTGCAAGCCAGGAAGGAAAGAGAACTCTCACCGGAACACACCCATGCCTGGGCCCTGATCAAATATCCCAGCCTCCAGAACTATGCGAAAAAAAATTTTGGCTGTTTAAGCCACCCAGTTAATGATATTTTGTTATGGCAGTGTGAGCTGACTAAGACATAAACAAGGAATTTTCAGGTAAAACTCTGAGCAACTCAGCACTTTATCAGGAAGTATTGTGGGAAGAGAACCAGATGGAGTCCAGAGCGGGGACACTTGGTTATACATAGTCTGGCCTTGCCTCTCATTTCATGTGTGACCTTGAACAAGTTGCTCCTTGGTTTGACCACAAATTCTACATCTACATAATCAAGGGACTGGATGAGGTACTTACTGTCTCAGCCACTGCTCAGCATTGACCCAACTTCCTCAGTGACTACGACTACCAATGTGCAGTAACAAGGGCAGACAGGAACAAATAATCACAGTAGATAGCAACAAGAACAGTTACAAAACGTAGCCCACAAATTGCCACTTCGGCATGATCTATAATGCAAGATGTATAACCGCCAAAAAGAAAAATAAAAAATAAAAAAGATGTATAACTGCAATGAGTATTCAGGAAATCAAAACCCACAATCAGAACTGAGTATCAAATATGGTAGTATCATCACCATGTCGGTGTACGGGAGGTTAAAATACAAAAAACAATGAAAAGAATGCAGACACAACAGTAAGGGAATATTGCAGCTATGGAATATACAGTGCTCATCATCTCCTCCCTACTTTCATTAGAGCACACAATGGTTTCTTTCCAAGATGAAGTCTAAGGAAGAATACAATTGCACAGAGAGAAGAGAACGTGAGATACTAACCCAGGACATAATAGTGCAGTTAGCAAAAACTATGTGTCATCCATGTTATGCCATTCAGTGCTGAGGAAGTAAAAAACAGAATAGTTATTGTAACAACTTTATTTAGCCCACTCTTCAAATACTTTACAGTAACCAAGTCACAGTTACATTTTGTTAGGTTGGCCAACATTCTCCATACATTGTTCTTTCTATTTTTTTTAAACTCCACAACCTTTTAATTTCTACATTTAATCCACCAGCTTACTGGAACAATATTAGTACTAATGCTTACTGCTAAACATTTTAGCAGATGTGTATCCAGCAGGCATTCCCCGAAGGAATCATAACATAACAGCACAGGTCATTAAAGCACCTCGATTGGCAGGAGATAGAAAACCAAGGCAGGTCAGAACTAAAGGCAGAAAAAAGAAACAGGAAGCCAGTGACAAAGATAGTCGCCAGAGTATATGGGCCTCGAGAAGAAATTAAGCACAACCTCATTAAGATGTGCTATATAAAACAGCACACAAAGAAATATTCTAATGGGAGAGCTTCAATGACAATACAAACAATTCTTACTCGCTCAGCTACTTCTTTGACAATTTGCCTTCATTGTAAAGGTCTGATTTTCAATTCAAGGCAAACAGAAGTATGTTTTTAAGTTGAATTAGTCTTTAATTTTAATTTCACAAAGTCAAACAAAATATCTCCCCGTTCCCTACTCCAGTATGTAGTTGTTCCCAAAACAGCAAATTGTTTTTGTCCTGGAAATTCCCTTCTGTTTCTCTATATTCAAAGCGAAGAATAAAAAATGAATGAAAGTGAAATTTTGTTTCAGGACAAAATAGGCTTAAAATTTGAATTTTGAAACTGTCGTTGACATCTGAAACACCCAATAAACCATTTTTTACAGCAGCTTTGTTTACAAAAATTACTACTCTGGATATCAAAAACTGACAGACTCCATTTTTAGTTTATACATAAAGATAGCTAGGGTTCATCAGCTATTGTCAGGCTACTACAGATGCCGTTCCATTTTTACACTTAACGACCAACACTTAAGCTTGCCGTCACATTTCACAATGTTAGCCTTTGCATCATGAACTTCTTTAACCCGTTCAAAATATGTACTGATTTTCAAGAATGTATCTATTTTCCAAAGCAAGAAGTATGTGCACTGGAGTTTACAACAGACTCTTCAGAACTGAAGAAGCTACAAAAGTCCTTGATATGGGAACATACTCCTAGACTCATGGCCTTAATCTGAGAAGATAGAAATGGAAGTATGATGAAAAGCAAATTTACTTAAACTTTATAGTATAATTTGCAAAGTCTTTTTGTACAAACAAATTAAAGCTTCACATGTGTCAGCAGTTCATTCCACCTGTTATAAAGTATATCTGAACATACTCACATGAAGTAATATATGTCATAATCAAAACATGTGGCCGGGGATTTAGCTCAGTGGTTCCACCTCCTGCCTCGAAAGAGCAAGGACCCGAGTTCGATCCCTGATACCAAAACTTGTGCTCCTTGACCCAAGAAGACTGAAGGCAACTTTTCACCCTTCAAAGACCTGCATATTTCCCCATGAAGCAGCTTCCAACCAAACTCTTCTGGGGCATCTTGCTGCACATAAGAAATTCTTTACAAAACACCGAAGGTGCTAATATAGAAAGTAGAAAAAAGCTCTGAAAGTTACATGAAACAAAATATTCCTCTCCAGAAGACTAACTAGAAGGAATGACTCACATGAATTCAGCAGGTCTCTGGAATGTATATGATCCTGCTCCATAAATGAGTCTTACTTCAAATTTTTGCATTTGCAAGAGTGTGTTAATTACGCAAAGCATAAAACTGGCCGAATTTTTTTTTTTTTTTGGTGGTACTGGGGTTAGTGGCCTTTTTTTTTTTTTTTGGTGGTACTGGGGTTGAACCAGAGGGCCTTTGCACTGAGATCCAACTACAGCCCTTTTTGAAATTTTTTATTTTGAGATAGGGCCTTGATAAGTCACTAAGTTGCCCATACTGGACCAAAACACGGAATCCTCCTGCCTCAGTCTCCCAGAATTCTGGAATTACAGGCCTGTACCATTACAACCAGCAACTGGCTGGCTTTTGATAAAGAAAGCAAAATCATTTAATTCACATAAGGAACTCAATCAATTTTATAAAAATTTAAAATTCACCAACACATAAATGATTACGAGTCCAAAAGGTATAAACAGTATAACCTAGATGATAGTGTTTTGCAATGTTTAGTATATTTATCCCATGCTTCAAATTAATGAAAAAATTTAGTAATATTTTGAGAGTTCAAACAAGAATTGATAACAAATAATGCTCTAATAAACTTACTAATACTTTTTAAAAATATATACAACTCGACACTTTCTGATTTGGTACAATAAACAAAATCGGTAGGCATCAGGAATGTGTTATATTCAAGGTGTTCTAGTCTGTGCAACATTGAAAACTGGGGAGACTATGCATTCAAGTATTTTTTTAGTCAAATATATGCATTTTTACTTACAGAAGAATTTATCTCCTTGAAATTGCTCTACTGAGATGAGAGTCTTTATCATGCCACCAGTCCAGATAAGAAAACAAAGGAATTCACAATACTAGAAAATTTAAGAAAGAACAAAAGAGAGAAGTTAAATTTCAAATTTCTTCACTGAATACTAAAGAGAAAATATGTGTACATAAAGGACATTCAAGTTATCAGTACATCAGTCGGTTTTCTTATGCTAACCTTATGTCAAAGACTGATTGAATCAATATATTAAATAAGCTTAAGGCTGTATCTCAAAATACTTGTACGTTACAAGTAAAGTAATAGAAACAACAAACTCTTAAGGTTATTTTAGAATTTGTAAGAGTCCATTCTCAAAAAGAAACAAGGAGAAATGGATAAGATCATTATCATAAACAGTTCTAGAGCATGAAACAAAAGTAAAAGCTCAGGAGCCACAAGCTGAACTAATATAGATAACTGAGTGCTTAGCCGGTGGACATTTAAAGCTGTCTACCAGCTTATCTACCAATTCTTACTTTCTCTTTTTAAAATTAAAACTTAAAAATATCCCCCAAATCAAATCAAATGCCTTCTGCCATCCCAATCCCAACCAAACTCATATACATCAAAAAGTAACAAATGTTATAAACAATCTGGTACCATTTTAGTGAGATACCAATCAAATGACTAATACTAAAATGTCTTTTAGGTGGTCTAATATATACAGAGAGAGACACATAGATGGAGGGAGGGAGGGAGAGACAGAGAGAGAAATGCTGGGGTTGTTTACCTCTGCACAAATGTTTCTGTATTTTAAGTGATGCTGAGTATGGGTTATAATCAGGGAAACTGGGGCAAGCCACTTTCTGGTCCCCATTCTGTCTCTCTTAAACAGAAGCTATCTTCCCCTCAATAAATTTTTCCCACTCTTAACCGCCATTATTCCTAGAATTCATTCTTCCATTTTAGAGAGCAGGAACTCGCATTTAGGATAACTAGCAGGTTTCAGAGTTACATCCCTTCCCTCTATATCATTCTGGAGGTCTTCCACTGAGATTACTAGTCAGAGTTTGGAGACCAAAACTAGAAAGGTAACTGGGCTATGAGGACAGCCAATACTTTGGCCCTGCCCCCCCCAAGGTCTCCAAGATCCAGGACACAAAAGAACCTTTCCTACAGGATCCTACATCTTTGAGGCTGCCAAACTGCAAGTGGTCATACAAATGGAAGTAATGACAAATGTGTTAGACTTCTTTCACTGGGATCCACCAGATCAACCTTGTAAACCACTCATAACTGCTAAACTGTACAATATGACTTCTATGTTGGATTCTGAAGTCCCCTGCACCTTCTCCTATCCTCTTTGTGGGCTATACTCATAGCAATCCTGCTGACCTTAAAATCTGGCCCATGAATTCCTAACTGTTTCTTTGGCTTTGTCTCCTCCAGACTGAAAAGCTATGCAGATACCAAGATGACAGTGCCTGGCACCTACTGAAGGCCTCTAGATAGACCCTTTGCAGAGTTACTCTAACTGCTGGTCACAACTACGACCCTCTTCAGCTGGAAGTAGCCAGAGCTGTCTTCGCCCTTTGCCCCCTCACAGCAGTTAGGGGTACTTCTTCAGAGGGGAGAATATTGCCGATAGGTAAGTTAATTAGATATCCTTTAGGCAGATAGACAGGGCTGCCCTCAAGGAGCCAACACAGCAAGGAGCCAACGTGGAGGACAATCAAGACACATTCACTGAAGACCAGAATTGTAAAAGGAGAGAAACTACTATATCCTTGTGCTTCCCCTAGGGATAAATAGCAATGACTGATATTCTAAATAGGTATGTATCACCTGGGTGGGGGGCCAAAGTCTTAACGCAGCCTTTCCAGGAAATATCCCTGACCCCACCCTTACTGAAAATCCTTGTAGGCTTGCTGTGTGATTTGCTCCCCCATTTAATCAATGTACCTGGGTGACTGTACTTGCAATCTTATTGGTCATGGTTTTGCCCCACCTCATGCCCACCTTGTAATTCGGTCTTACAGTTTTGTTCCACTTTGTATCCACCTCACCACATGGTCTGGCTGTATAAAACATCTTGGAGAAGTGGGGATTGCAGGCAACCCACTTTCTGGTCCCCCTTCTGTCTCTCTGAGACAGAAGCTTTCTTTCCCTCAATAAATTTTTCCTACTCTTAAAAAAAAAATCAGGGAAACTAATTGTATTAGTGATAAAGGTTAAAAATAGAAAATAAAATGTGTTAGATGTTATAAATTAGCTTATAACAGAAACTATTCATTGTTACTTTACAACCACTAAAAGTACTAGAGATTAGCCCCCATCATCTATCGTTAGGCCCTTCAGTTTCACAACTCTTTTGGAGAAACCATTTAAATGAATTTTGCAAGATGGCTGACTGGAGGTACCTAGTTACTTCCCTCCACAAAAAAAGGACCCAAACAAGGAGGAAACAACAGCTATCTCACTGAAGTGTTTGAGGCAGAGCATAACGGTATACTGACGGTGTAACAAAGATGTTACAAAGCAGAGTTAGGCAATGACTGTATACCTAAAATGTACCAATAAACTCAATGAGGAAAAAAAAAAGAAGGGGATGGAGCACTTACATCTGCCATCTGCTCTCGCCCCTCCCTCCATCCCTCCATCGTCTCTCCTCTCTTTCCCTTCTCCCTCCTCCCTTCCTCTCTCCCTCCCTCCTTCCTTCTTCTCTCTCCTCCATTTCTCAGTACTGGGGACTGAACCCAGCATCTCAGGCATGCTAGGCCAGTGCACTTCACTGAGCTGTATAACTAGCCCTTTTTACTTTTTTAAATGTTTAAAGCAAGGTCTTGCTAAGTCACCCAGGCTGGCCTCTAACTCTCCATCCTCCTGGCTCAACCTTCCTAGTACCTGAAATTACAGGCCAGTACCACCATGCTAAGTTTCTTTGTTCTTCTTGTTTTTAAGGCAGGCACTTAAAAAGTTATAAAGTTAAAAATGTTATAAGCATGTTACAAGGTTTCCTCTTAAAATTGCTTTTTCTGTATCCCATAGGATTTGACATGTTGTGTTTTCATTTTCATTTGTTCGAACATGTTCAAATTTTCCTTTTGAATTTTCATTGATCTATTGGTAACCAGGGAGAATATTAATTTCTGTGTAGCTGTATAATTTCTAGAGTTCTTAATGATTTCTAGTTTTATTGCAGTGCAGTCAGAGAAGATATATACCATCATTTCAATGTTTTAATTTATTGAGATTTGTATTGTGGCCAAACATAGAGTCTATCCTAGAGAATGTTTCCTGTACTGATGAGAAGAATGTGTAGTCTACAGCTGTTGGAAATGTTCTGTAAGGCCCACTTGCTTTAACTTTGATATTTGTCTATTTTTTGTCTGGATGATCTGATCTGCCCATTGATGAAAGCTGAGTGTTAAAATCCCCAACTTTTATTGTATTAGACACAATCTCATTTAGATCTACTAATGGTTGTTTTATATAAGTGGGTGCTCCAGTACTGGGTGCATATATGTTTACAATTGTTATTTCCTCTTGTTGAATTGATCCCTCCATCATTATACAGTGACTTCTTAAGCCGTTTTTACTTTTTCATTTAAAGTCTTTTTCATTGATGGGGAGAATTTTAGAGCTTTCACTGATAACAAACAGCCTATGGCAAATGTGCCATAGGTTCCCCAACACTTGCTTTTGGCTTCCCTTTGCATGGTAAATATTTTCCTTCCTTTCATTTTATGTATATATATAGATATATATCTTAATTGGTAAAGTGAATTCCTTTTGGGAGTTTTTTTTTTTTTTCAGGCAGGGTCTTACTGTATATTCTAGGCAGGGCTTGAATTCACTATTTAGTCCAGTCTGTCCTGGAACTCACAGAGATCCTCCTGCCTCAGTTTCTTGAGTTCTGGGATTACAGGTGTGAATCACCATACTGGGCATGGAGAATGTATTGTTGAGCCTAATTTTTTATTCCTTCAGCCAATCTTATTTCTTCCAATTGAAGACTTCAATCTGCTTATATTGTTATTATTTATAAACACATATATTCTTGTTATCTTTTATTTTATAGTCATTTTATATATCCCTTTTTCCTGTCTTCCTCACTTGTTCATCTTTGTGGTTTGGTAGTTTTCTGTATCGATGAGGTCTGGTTCTCTTCTCTTTCTCTTTTGTGTATCTGCTGGGCAGTTGAGTTTTGTAAGTCTGTGTTACCTTACATTATCATTAAGTACTTCACACTCTTTCTAGCGAATCCCTCTGGATGGAGCGTTCAGGTGCTTTCCAGGCTGTGGGAGGATGGCCGAGGCCTCCTGCCTAGTTCACAGGGCCTCAGTGGCAGGGACCCAAGATGGAGCCTGGGTGGAGGAGGATGCACCTCTGCTGTGTGGAGCAGCAACCATGGGAGAGCTCCTTTTACTGTCCTTTCCACCAAGTGAAGCCCCTTTGGATAGAGTTTTCTCACTTGTCTCTGGCTCTCTTTCCAGGTTTTCATGACATCACTACCCTGCCTCTACCCAGCTGCCAAGTCCTTCCAACCCCAGGCAGGTGCTTCCTTTCCGCTTGCCTCAGTCCACTTCCTCAGTCATATCCCACCTATGCCCCACCCAGACACAGCATCTCCACACACCTTAGGTTTCTCTGTGCCTCCAGTATAAACATTAATATATGTAAGCCGGGTGTGGTGGTGCACTCCCAGCACTCGGGAGGCTGAGGCAGGAGGATCCCTGCGAGTTCGACACCAGCCTGGGCTACATAGTGAGTTCCAGGTCAGTCTCAACTACACAGGGAGACCCTGTCTCAAAACAAACCAAACAAAACAAACAACCATTAATACATGTAAAACACATTCTCCTTTCTTCTGTTTCTTTTCATTGTACACGTAGGGAAGTGGGGAAGAGAAAAGAAATGGAAAGTTAGCCGCAGAGAAGGAAAAATATCATCGACTTATCTGTGGAAACAAAACTCCTTAACTCAAAATACATGTCTAAGAGTGCTCTGGCAGCACGCGCCTGTACAGTCCCAGTGCTCTTGGAAGCAGAGGAAGGAGGATTACAAGTTCAAACCCAGCCCTGGCAAGTTAGCAACTTAGCAAGACCCTGTCTCAAAATAAAAAATGTAAGGAAGGGCTGGGATCTAACTGGGTGACAAGGCCCTGGGTTCAACCCCCAGTACCACAAAAACTGTTTACATTTCCCACCCTGAAGCTTCTTATTCTTTATTTCATGCGGTGCTCAACCTCAGCCACTGAATGTTAGTATGAGACATAGACTCCAAATTATAATCCCATCTCGAAGACTACTTAGCATTTTTGTTTTGCTAAAATAAAAAATATCAAATCATATGCCCACACTTTAACTGATTCTGCTGGTTAAACCCTGAAACATGTAGAAAAACTATTATGCATATGCCTTCTCCATCTCTTCACTACCAATTTTATGGAATCATGAGATCTACCTTGGAATTTTTCTATATTCTATCTTGTTTCAAAGAGGGACTAGGGTGAAAATAATTTTAGCTTGCTGCTATCCACCAAATATAGCATCTTTTTGCTATAATTTTGTATCCCCAAATCCACCTCATACTTCATTACCTTTCTTGTTTGTTTATTTGAGACAGGATCATGCTATGCAGTTCAGGCTGGCCTTGAACTCATTATATAGCCCAGGCTGGCCTTGAACTCCCAGCGGTCCTCCTGCCTCAGCCTTCTGAATACTGCCACTACAGGTGTGCGCCACGACACCTGGTAGTTCATTACCTTTTCGGCTTTCTGTCCTGACGCACTGCCATCTTCCTTGTAACTTCAGATCATACTTGAGAAGGCACATTAAAAAAAAAGGCATAATGAGAGTTACTGTAGCATTGTAAATTTAAAAGATTTAGAAATAACCACAAATACTCATCAATGGCCTGGTGTGGTGGCGCAGGCCTGTAATCCTACAACCTGGAAGGCTAAGGCAGGAAGATCGCCATGAGTTCAAGGCCAGCCTAGGTTACATAGTGAGTTCAAGGCCAGTCTGAACTGCATAGGGAGGCCCTACCTCAGAACAACAACTACAAAAATATTTCATCAGAAAGAGAATGAATTATGGAGACCCATAACCACTAAAAAAGAATGAGGTGCATCTATAAGTGATGATATGTCTAAGAAGTAGCATTAAGTGGAAAGAAAGATGAAAAATATAGTGAAATTCCATTTTCCCTCAGAAAATGACCATGGCTAATGTACCAGTGATGGAACAGGTTGCTATGTTCCCCATGATGCGAGATGTCACTTCTGTGATATGCCTGCCAAGAATGAATGGCCTGAATAGAATAAAAAATCAGGATGCCCCAGGATGACAGCCATCCTAGGGAATTTGAGCTCTGTGCCTTCCAAAAATTGCAAGAATATGAAAGACTAAAGAATTGGCCCTGACTGCAGAAGACCAAGCACTGATCACAACATGTGATCCTGGGTAGGGTTAGGAAGCACAAGGGAAAGAGTGACACTGTTGACAAGCTGGTAGACTCTGACTGGATGGATGCAGTTAGCGTGGCAATATGCCAGTGTCGGTGCCTGGCCTGAAGGGCTGTATGCTACTTATGTAGGACAGCGGCGTTGTTTGGGGAATATGCACTCTGGAGTCCTTCGGGGTAACTGCACATCTAGTCCTCAAAAGATTCAGAGAGAGGAAGGGTGGGGGAAAGGTAATAGGGAAAGAAAAAAATAGGAGAAAATGAAAAAATGGAAATAAAGTGTTTGTAAATGGGGAGGGGAGGAAGGGGAGAAGAGAGGGCAGGGACAAGCGGAAAAATGAGAACCCAGACCTGTCGTGTAAAGGTACAAGATCCCACTGATGAATGTAACTGTACTGTATACCTAAAATGTACCAATAAGCTCAATGAGGAAGAAAGAAAGAAAGAAAGATTCAGAGAGAGAGACTAACGATAAAGGACACAGAACAGGCCACGCCCCAGTGACCCACCTCCTCCAACCAGGCTTCACCTCCCAACATCACATTCAGCTATGAACTCATCAGTGGTCTCATCCACCGCTGAGCATCCACACCCATGATCCGATCACCTCCCCAAGACTGCGCCACCTATGGGCGCATGTGGCTTTGGGAGGACATTCAGATATAAACCAAAACATGGGGCAGCTCGTTAAAGAGTCCACAGTCTTTTACTGCTCTGGCCATTCTTGTCTAAGTCTGAAAGTGTTTCAAAATGAACTATTTTTGAATAAGAAAATCACAATTTATAGAACCGAGAGAGATATTTATCTCGTATGGGATTTATCTTAACCGTCTACTAAAATATCATTGCAGTAGTGAAATGTGACTTAGTCGGCCAAAATTTGAACTACATGCACCTCTTCTTCATCAGCGTAATCTTTCCCTTAATTGAATTAGCTCATATCAAACCTTTTGAAAAGACACAGACTATGAAGTCCATAAGCACTATGAAGATTGGGTTTTCAGTACAAAGAGAAACCAGGTGTGGTGGCACACACCTGTAATCCCAGCACTCGGGGAGGCTGAGGCAGGAAGATTGCGAGTATGTGCCCCAGTTTGGGTAATTTAGTGAGACACTCTCGCCAAATGAAAGATGTTTAAAAGGGGGATGCGGGGGGGTATGATTTTTAAAAGGGGATGTGGCTCAGTGCAAAGGCCCTGGGATCAGTCAAATAAATAAATAGTTGATTGAATGTATGAATGAATGAATGACATAGAGCCTAGACGACTGCAGTTGTTAAACCAAGTCATTTTTGAACCAAACATTGCCACCTGCTGGAAATAACAGGCCACAACACATATTACTCATCACTACAAAAATAAATTATTTCAAAATCCTAAGGCACATTTGAGAACAAAATGACAAATCCCAAAAGATAACTGAGTGGTAAGATCTACTTTAAAATCCATTTAAAGTTAATGAATTATTCCTGATCTTTACAACTCAAGAGTTTCAAAATCTTTTATAAGAGCATTTCTCATGCAATCTTATGAAGTAAACAGGCCTTTAATGTTGGTAATAATGCAGGTCTAACTGCAAAGTTAGGAACAAAGACTTCCCAACCCATGCTACAGTACCCCATGAGGGTCTCTTTCAATAAAAATCCATGCATGCCATGAGGCCCAACAGAGCAAATCAAAAAGGCAAGGCAAGAAACTAAATGGAGAAGGTGAAAAAGTAAAAAGAGTCAACAAAAGGCCAATAACATATTATAATAAGTCAGTACATATCAGTTATAATCATCAATGTTAATGGCCTCAACTCACCAATCAAGAGAAACAGACTGGCAAAATGGAATTAGAAGCAAAATCCAACAATATGTTATATACAAGAAACACACCTAGGGCAAAAAGAAGCCCAGAGACTGAAAGTGAGAGGATAGAAAACAATTCTCCATGTGGCAGGAGCCCCTCCAAAAAAACAGGGGTAGCTATCTTATTGGCAGACAAAGTAAATTTCAAACCAAAACTGATTCTAGTATTATTGATGTAGGACAGTACTGTATCATACCTCCGTGAATGTAAAATATCTAGTACCTGCTTTATGATGCATAGTAGTGACCATGTTTCATCAGAGCTATAGTTAAAGATGTTACTCTAGAATGTTCTCTTTCCAGAGGATGATTAAGATGCTAATTAAAAAAATGGTGCCAGGTACCACAACAGCAACAGAACTTTGCTGTTTTCTGGATATTATTCTTTTGTTTTGTTTTGTTTTGTTTTGTTTAATGGAATGTGCTGAATGTCTATAACTCTGTTCAGATGACTGCAGAACCTGGAAAAGCTGTTGCTGCTATTGATGCATAACATATTGCTATTATTAGTCTTTT